TAGTTACTTTCATTCAGATATTTACTCTGCTCCTACTGTGTTCCACAAACATTATTTTTAGTACTGATGATGCAGTGGTGGAAAGAAGACAAGTTGCCTATTAATGGTGTTTACGTTTTCATGAGAGAAAGAAGAGAGATGCTTCTGTTTTGATTACTCTCAACTACAATGCCTGCAAAATTTGTTTCTTAGGCATTTTATTATTAAGTTAGTTTTGAAGCAATTATTCAAAATTTATGTTCGGCATTATTTTTATAATAAAGGTGACATAATTTTGTGGAAATTTTAGTAAATACAGCTTAAAACCTTTCATAATCCTATAAAGTAGAAAACCATAGTTATCACTGTGCATCTGTGGGTGCATGCCATCTGTCTGTTTCTATGTAGATGTATGGACAAATGTAATTGTCTAAGAATAATGAGGTATTTTATGAGCCAGCTTTCCTTCATACTCCTAAATATTCTTTAAGAACATGATTTCTGCTATTGCAAATCAGGGATAAATGTGCTGCAATTTATTTGAATAGCACCACATCATTGGGCTTTGAGATATCTTTTTGTAAAATGTAGTTATTTTAAGTAAAACACTATGGTAAATATCGTATATTTGTTAGAATCTATACGACTGACTCTCTTTTTCAGTAAATGGTCATAAGTGAAATTACTGGATCAAAGTCTATTAAACATATATAGATTTTATATTATCATTTCAACTGTATCTCCAAGGAATACAGTTTTACCAGATTAGGATTTATGAATGTTTCTTTCTTTGCATTCTTACCAATTTTAGGTATTTCAGATTTTATTTCCTAAACACAACCCACTTCTTCACATTTATTATTCACTTGCTTGTCTCTTTGGTGAGTTCCCTTTTATATTTCTGCCCATGTAACCAATTTGGAATTTTTAATTTTTTCTCTATAAAAGGCTCTTTACATTAAATTTGAATAACTGAATGTGTTTTATATTTTAAATTCTTCTGGTGTTTCCTTTGCCCTTTTTTGTATTTTCACAAACGTTTCATTTTTATACTGGCAAGCCTATTTATATTTACTTTTAATTGCCTGTGGTTGCTTCTATGTGTCTCCATATTTTTCCACTTTGATATTAGAAATTGCTTTCTTATATGAGCTTCAAGTTCCTTTATTTTTTATAAAAAGGTTGAGTCTGTTGAGGATTTTTTAAATAGTAAGTTTTTTGGTTGAATGATTGTCCTGATATGTATGTATTATGTATTTTTCATTTAAAAATTTTATTTTTTTTGAAATAAACTTTCTTTTCTTCACTGATTAAAATATCCCACCTTTATTATATGTATATATTTAGCTCCTTCTACATATATAACTCTGGAAAGTTCTCTTGTGACTTGTTAATCATAGTATAAAACTTTTAAGTAAAATTTTTATGTGCTTAAATATTTGATAGCATGAGTTTTCCATTCATTAAAAGTTTTCAAAATTGTCTCTATAAGAATGTGAGCTAGTGTAGTACAAATGTCAACATTGATAGACAACAACAGCTATGGGAGTTTGGAAATGGAATTGAGCAGATAGGATCTTGGGGAAGATGTGGCACTTTAGCTGGACCCAGAATGATGAATCTGATTTAACTTGGCAGAGCGGAAGGAGAAAAGGTATTCCAAATGGGGGAAACAGTCTAAGCAACAGCACCCACAATTATGAACAAGCATTAAATAATGCTTGATGATGCTCTGATGATGGCAGAGACAGGTGGGAGGGATCTGCTCTTTGCTGAACATCTACTGCATGGGAATCACCATGCTAAGCATTTTATAGGAATAACTCTGGCCAGCTGAATCCTTCTCTTTGTCTCCTGTGTGAGCGCATGGCTCAGTGTCCTGCTTTCACTGTTCTAGTTTGTATGCAGAACTCACTATTTCTTTGAGTTTCTAAAAAGGAGTTCAGACACACACACACACACACACACACACAGTTTGTCTTTGTAAACCAAGGTTTCTTGACCTCAGTACCATAGACATTGGGGGCTGAAAAATCCACTGTTACAGACTGTTTCAGGGTATTGTCCTGTGCATTATTGGATGTTTCTCTCTGAACTACTAGGTTTGCTTGTAGGTGCTAGTAGCAACCCTGCCACCTATGTGGGACAGCCAAAAATGTCTCCTGGCATTGACACATGTCCCACGGGGGGAGAATAAACTCTGATTGAGACTCACTGATAGATATTATACCAAAGATAAGGAAGTTGATGGAGGGTTTTATATTGCACTGTACATAACAAATATCCTTGTGTTTTTTTCACTGAACTCCCTTCTTGGCTTCTCTGCAGTTGAGTTTGCTTAATCTATTCCAGGTTTTCTTAACTGTGTCACTACTGACACTTGGGCCACATAACTCTTTGTTTTGGGGGGTCTGCCCTGTATGTGTCCTATATTGAGCAGCACTATTGGCTTCCACCCAGAATATGCTAATACTCCTCCCCATGTTGTGACAACCAAACTGTCTCCAGACACTGGCAACATTGACCGGGATGGTGAACCACTGTTGCAGACTATCAAGGGGCCGATGGGTATAGGGTATTAGTCTGCAAAACTCACAGGATATAATTTTTAAATCCTCTTTTTCCTCTAAAGTCCTTTCTTGGTTATTACACAACTGGTTTTTTTGTTTGTTTGTTTGTTTGTTTTACTTATGCTCTGTTGAATTCTCTATCTCAGCACTATTATTATGCGGAGGCTGTTCTATACACTGGGGTATTTAGCACCATCCTTGACATCTTCATTCTAGATACCAGTCACACCTTGCCCTCTCCCCTCCTTCTTTCCCCACCCCCAGCACCCCGCCCCAGTTGAAACCACCAACAGTTATGTTGCCACATATTGACAGATGTCCCCTGGAGTGAAGGGGCAAAAATGTCCCTGGTTAAAACCCCCTGTTCTATCTCTCCATACCTCTCTCCACACAGCGGCTCTTCTTTCCAGCCTTTTCTTTCAGAAGAAATGCTCTTATTTTCTTACTCAGACATTGAGTGGTAATTTTTGTTGTGTTGTTACTGGAACATGATTGAGGAACCTCACTCTATCTGAAGTGGTTTAATTGTTACAATTTTCTCTAACAGGTGTACCATTGCCCCTAAGAGGAATTCTGGCAAATAACATGGACTCCACCTTGCTAACATTCATCATTTCTCCTCCAAGTGAATGGGAACCAGCTATTGGAGCTTCTTCTATCAGAGGTTCTGCTATAGACTGTTTTTAAAAATTGTGTTGTTGGTTTTTCAGCGCCGTGTGTGTTTTAGGGTTATAGGCTCACATCTCTTCAGATGTATGTTACCACACCATGCCCACCTCCAAAGTACCCATAATGCTCTACCATAGTCCATCTGGCCCCCTCCACCCTTTGCTTCTCATCTTCTACTCTCCCGCTCTGGTAGCCTCAATTCTGCAATCATTTTTTAGGGTTTATTTTGGTTTAGTTTATTCTGCTCCTTTGTGTTGCTTTATATTCTCCACATGAGTGAAATCATCTGGTATTTGCATGGGTTGTTTTTGCATTAGAGTAAATTTGCACAAACCTCTCTTTATTTTACTAAATCTGAAATGTGGGCAACCGGAAGATAAAAAATATTATCTTGTACATAGTAACTGTATTTAAATGAAAAGAATGTAAATATTGCAACCAGTCGCATCTGGGTTAAAATATCACTTAATTCCCCTTTAACCAGATTTAGTAAACTTAGGCAAATTAGTTTCTCTAACCTTGATTCATACAGTACTTTGTAAAATATGGTTAGGCTTATCTGTGTGAATGGATGCTTCATGAAGATTATTGGTAAGAGACAGCACCTCAAAAATGTTAACCACTATTAATTTTATCAAGAGGTATTGAGGCCTATATAGAGGAACTTTAAAGCCAAATTTTAACCCTAAATACCTAGATCTAAAACATTTTCCTCTTTTTCATTTAATTTGACTTACTTGTGGTGACCACAGCTGAGGCATGCCAGCAGAAAAAGATCATGGCATTATTTTTTTATTTTGCGAGAAGTTTTAAGGATTGATCAATGTTAATGTTCTCATGAACTGAGTTTTGAAATTTAGTGTCATTATAGAGACTTCTTATAATGTAAGAAGATGTATCACTCTTCTAAATAAAATGTGAGGTAGAATTATAAGTTAGGAGTTTTACTAAAATTGATTCTATGGCAAAAATCTCATTTGACTGAGTTTTTTAATGTTTCCCCCAGTTTGTAAGCTATATTTTTCTTTACCATTTATTTCTCCTGTGAAGGGTATATGTGGTTTTGACCCTTTCAAGACAAATTGAAAAATCTAATATGAAAAGAAAAAAAGACCATCTGCAAGTCACATTATAAAAATAAGTAAAAAGGCACAGCGTACTATTCTGGTCATTAAAAAGGATTTCCTTGTTCAATTTGTTAAACAAAGTTGTGATTTCCCCGAGATTAGAAAATAAAGTGTTAACATAAGGTAAGGTACACAATCTTTGTTATATCATAGAATTTAGAAGTGAAGAGGGCCCCAAATTGCTTAGTGTAATCATCCCAATTTATTAGTGAAAAAATTGGGGCCTATAGAATGCAAGTTGACCTCCTTAGAGGTCAGTGACCTCCTTAGAGGTTGGTTAGTGACCGAGTTTGTATAGGGCACTGATTCCAGAGTGAGTCATTCACCCTGCTTTGTCACATCTATTTTAAAGCATATAGAATTATGGAATGTTATAGAAAATTTAGCACGTTCTAATGCGTTACAAGCAATGGAATGAGAATGGAGATATTTTTAGGGATTGTTGTGGTACCAACTACAAGAGAAAAATAGAAGATTTTGACTGGGATAAGGTTGATGACCATTACATTGCAATTCAGTACAGCTATTTTAAAGAAACACACCATCGTTGTCTTTTTGAGAAGACATAGGTAGACATGGCAGACTATAGGAAAAACTAGGTTTTTACCAACACATTAACATTTTTTCCCCATACACTCTCACTCATATTGAACACTCTTTATGTTTTATTAAGGAACATAAACAGTAGTGGAAGGTGTTAGGATATTTCAAACTTGGTTAAGTGTCTTTAAACTGCAAAAATGTGTCCAAACTTTGTATCTTGAGTGTTCAATATCTTTAACATATCTTGGACCTTCTAGTAGTATAGTATAACTTTGCAATGACGACATTAATCAAGTTTTAATAAAATCGTCCGTGCGATGTTCCTGTGTTCCTTGCTTATATAATTTATATCGGTCTGCCATTGCTGACAGATCTTTTGGGACAGGCTGATTCGTTCTTTTTAGAATATTAATCAGTTCAATGGCAATCTTGGCATCATTCTTAGTCAGAAGGGTGATCGATGTTCCACTTCTGCCAGCTCTTCCAGTCCGTCCAACTCTGTGCACATATTCTTCGACATTCTTTGGGAAATCATAGTTGTATACATGTGTGACATCGTCTACGTCAAGTCCTCGGGATGCTAAGTCAGTAGCAATCAGGATTTTCACTGTTCCTCTTCTGAAGTCATTTAATGCTTGCTCGCGGTCACTCTGCTCTCGGTCACCATGCAGGGACTCCACGGGTATGCCTAGGATGCTTAAGTCGCTTGACAAGTCATCAGCCACAAGTTTTCTGCTGACAAAAACGATGACTTTGTCTTTAGGTGACAGGTTCTGTAGGAAATCTTGGATTAGAGATCGTTTTTCTTCTTCTGTGGTGACTATTACATGTTGCTTCACTGTACTGACAGCAACTAGATCCAGGGTACCAATATAAACAATCATAGGCTCTTTCAAATAAGATCTTGCTAGACGGCGAACGCTATCAGGCCACGTTGCACTTGTCATAACAGTCTGCCTGTCAGGGCGCACATCTAATAAAATCTTCATTATCTGGTGTTCAAAGCCCAGATCCAGCATTTTATCCGCCTCATCTAAGACTAAGTAGGTTATACTTTTTAGGTTGACAAAGTCATTCATTTGCAGATCATTCAGTCTCCCAGGAGTTGCAATAACAATGTCTACACCTTTGGTTATCTCTTCTATTTGTCTTTTTCTATTGCCACCACCATATACACAAATACTTTTAAGATATTTATATGAATACTTAGAACATTCAGCTTGCACCTGAAGGGCTAGTTCTCTAGTGGGTGTCAGGACTAGCATTCCAGGACCATTCCTTTCTTCTCTAGGTAGAGGTTGGAAACTGAGATGTATAAACCCAGGCATTAAATAGGACAGTGTTTTTCCTGTTCCTGTTTGTGCAACTCCTATAAGATCCATTCCTTGTAAAACAATTGGCCACATCTGTGATTGAATTGGTGTTGGCATTTTAAAACCTGCTTTTTTAATGTTTTGCATAAGTTCAGGATAGTTTTGGAAGGCATCCTTAAAGGTACAAATCGGATTGGGGATGGGACGTTTCTCCCCCACTTTCAAGTCATCACACATTATGTTGAAATTTTCTGATCGCCAAATGTCCACCTGCTTTTGAGACAATGAGCGAGTTGCTTCAGATTCTACATAAAAGTCTTTCTTAATTGGTGGTAAATCTGCCCACTTTTTTTTCTCCCACTCGGCAACCTCTGCTCTAATTTGGTCCCAATCTAGCAGTGGCTGAACTTTTTTCACAGCGCTACCAGTGCTGACATCTCTCCCAATAGTGGGCTGGGATGTAGCCTCATCAACACTGGATGCCGACTCTGGGTTCTCTTGGTTTTTAACAATATCTTCTATAGCCTCTTTGGCCTTTGCCTTCATGTCGGCACTTCCGAAAATCTTTACCTCGGCTATAGGATCACCTCTTATGATCTGTATTTTGGTTTTGGTTCTATTCTGGATGTCATTAATTTTTGATCCGCCACGACCAATCACCATACCAACCATACTGCTCTTCAATTTCAAGCAAAGGGGTGGCTGTCCGGAGCCAGATGCTCTGGGCTCCCGGTAGGGGGAGGAGCTACTCCAACCCCATCCCCGGCCACGGTCCTGGCCTCGGCCCCACTCCTGGCCTCGGCCCCTCTCCTGGCCTCGGCCCCACTCCTGGCCTCGGCCCCTCTCCTGGCCTCGGCCCCTCTCCTGGCCTCGGCCCCACTCCTGGCCTCGGCCCCGCTCCTGGCCTCGGCCCCGGGATAGGCCTCGACCTCGGTCATCGCTAGTGGCCCTGGACTCTCTCCATCCGAACTCTCCCTTCCGCTCTGGGGCCCAGGCCATTTCTGGTCAACGGTGCGGTTGATGGCAGACTCTCGCCTACCTAGGGATGAGAGCAGGCGGCGGCGGTGAGGCCTGTCTCCCCTCGGCCTCTCCGAGGGCGCAAGGTAGGACGCTAAGCGGCAGCTATGGAGGCTGTTGCCCAGGGCATCCTTTGTTTGATGGCTTGCGGGGCGGGGCTCTGATGGCTTGACCAATCAGAGGGCCGGAAGTGGGTGACGTGAGCCTGGGCTTCCAGCAGCTATTTAAAGTGATATCCACTCTTGAGCTGATCACATGGCTCTTAAAGGATCCTGAGAGTGTTTCCTCGACTTTTGTGTCCTAGGTGCCTCGGTAGCTTGCCTCCTGCTAGTTATGGCTCAGCAGAGGAATGGGCTTGAAGCAGGCCTTGGGGTTTATCCACGTGGCGTGTTTTCTTTTTTTTTTTAAAGTCGGTAATATCCATAGGTGGAAATAATAGTGATTTTAAACAAAATCAACTTATTTGTTCATATATTTGTGTATTTATTTAGCTAAGTTTACTTTTGAGTACCAACCATACTAGGTCCAGATATATTTATCACTTCCCTTTCCTCTAGTATAACTTAAATTATACTAACAGGGAGTCCATTAAGTAAACACCTAGGAATGGCATTATGCCTCTCATTCTTCATGTGAACACCAGCATTTGTTCAGGTAATCTCTAGGTGTTTCAGGAATGATGGTTAAAAGAGAGGTAGAGTTGGGTCTTACTCTCTTACTCTAGACACATCTTGGAGTATTTTCAATAATTTGCTGCTTATTGACTCTTAATTTTTTTTCCTCCTTCCCCCTGGTTTCTTTGATTCATTAATCTGCACACTGGAAGACTGTATAGGAGTCATTTATTAGGGGAAATGTAGAAGACAACTAGCGGCAGTCTGGGCAAGTAGATTCAGTTTCTATTTAAACCATAACAGAGGCTAAGAGCTCACTTTGGTGTAATGTTAATGAAATGAGGTATGTCTGATATAATTTCTCAAGATTGCACTTGGGTTATGAGTTTCCAGAAAAATTATCACAAAGGTGAAGGTCACTTCTTACCACATCATGTTGTGGGTAGTGGGAAGGGTGCCTGTCAGTGGGTAATGTTCATCTTGGTCGCTATATTAAATGGTGGTACCCCAGTTTTCCCCACTGTAGAATTGTTATTTCTTCTTGTCCATAATCTGTTCTTTGTTTTTTTTTTTAAAGATTTATTTATTTTTATACAAGAACCACGGTACAGGCCAGATGTGTGGGAGGGTGAGAGGATTCACCCGAGATAGCAGGGAACAGAACAGGCAGACTGACGAAATACACTGCTGAGGGGAGCAGCGGGCGAGACAGGAGAGGTCTGCTGCAACATGTGGGTACCTCCGTGGCCAGTGGGGATCGAAATGGCACTGCAGAGGCATGGGCAGCTTCACAGCGCTGCGCTCAACCGCCTGCGCCACCAGGGAGGCCCATAATCTGTTCTTTGAACGTGAGTCATTAAGTCCAGTGTACCCTCACAGTTCAACTTCCTCTTTGATGCAATTCATACTAACATTTTATACCACTATTAATATGCTATGTAACACCTTGCAAAAAAGGCTCTGGGTGAACATAGATTATGTAATGAATTTTTTTTTTTTTACTTTCTGGTTCAGCCAGAACTTTTGTGACCAAATCACATTACAACTCCTCCACACTTGTTCATGAATTATATTAGAATCTTAAAGCATTCGTAATATCTTTTAGTTCATTAACTATTAAAAAGGGAAATTTGTGTAGTCAAATGTGGCTTTTACTATGTCAAATGGAGGCTCTATTTCTCTGTCTTTATGCCTTCATCTTTATATTGAGTAATACTGATTACAGAATCACAGGATTCTAGAAGTACTAGTATGTCAGAGGTGACCTTGTTCTTCACTCTAGAGAGAATAAAATCGAGACTGAGTATCCTTCTGGTCTTGAGCAAGAATACTCACCACATCATTGAGAGTATAAATTCAGAGTGCTCTCTTGCTCACGCTTGCTCTCTCTCTCTCTCTCTCTCTCTCTCTCTCTCTCCATAGAAGAACTGGAGTGTAGGCCAGAGGTGCAGGGGTGAGAGGATTCACCGGAGACAGTGGGGAGTGGAATTGGTGGATTTACTGAAATACACTGCTAAGGGGAGCAGCGGGTGAGACAGGAGAGGTCTGCTACTCCATATGTGTGGGTCAGCTCCTGGCTGGGGATTGAACTCATGCTGCAGTGGTGATAATGCCCCCCTCCCCCAAGCCACCAGGGAGACCCTCAGCATCCTCTCTTAACTTGTAGACAGGGACTCTTACTCCTTTACTCTAAAGTTACTTGTTTCTGGTCCTTTTTTCTTATGTGGCTAGTAGGTAAAATAGAAGAAGCTATGAAAATGAGTGAAAGAAAGTCACAGAGAAGGGAGAGGGTAGTTACAAAATCTGAGTACAAGAACTGTGTACTTTAGGGTGAAACTGGTTGTGATGAATTTTTTGGAAGACAGTAATCTGATGGAAGACTTTTATGAGTATAGCAGGTACTGAAAGACATTGTATCTTCATGGGCATTCATTATCACCCATGATTGGCTTTATCAATTGGAAAAACTGGTTGTCACCTAAATGAAGAGCCACATTCTTTACTTCACATATCTCTGCCACAGGCTTGCCTCTTAAGTCAGAGATCTTCCCTTAAGATATTTACCCCAGGGCCTCCCTGGTGGTACAAGAGTTAAACACAGTACTATGAAGTGATCCACAGCCTCTGCAGCATGAGTTCAATCCCCTGTCTGGCCTGGGAGCAACCCACATGGCGCAGCAGACCTCTCCTGTCTCACCCACTGCTCCCCTCAGCAGTGTATTTCATTCGTCTGCCTGTTCTGTTCCCCACTCTGTCTCTGGTGAACCCTCTCACCCCCCACATCTCTGGCCTGTACCCCAGTAGTTATATGCATAAATAAATCTTAAAAGAAAGATATTTACCCCGGTGGACTATGACTTGGCACCTTGTTAACTTATTCTTGAAAAAATACAATGGCAAAGTTTGAAGTTGTCAGATGCATTCTGGTGGAACAATTGGTTGAGCACTTGTCTTCAGGCCGAGAGAGCAAAGGAGGAAGGGTTTGAGTGTCTGGTAAAGTATGTCTGAAGGCAGGAAGAAAGGTAATAAACTTTCAGGAGTTTGTTTAAGACATATTTTACTGTTTTGCTTAAGATGGTCCCTTACCCTATACTTAATCTTACAGACAATAGTATGAGAGTGAAGTATTGTAGTTAGCAAATGGGGCTAATTTTCAGTCACTCTTACAATATTTTCTTGTAGATAAGTTAATGTGGTGGCATCAAGTATTCTAACAGGTGGGGCTTCTTAAAAGCTATGTTGATAGTGTTTTGTTTACTAAATTTTCGGTGATGAGCTAAGACAACCTAGAGTTATAAAATTCCAGTTAGTATTGAGGATGATAGTAATTACAGTTAATTTTACATCTGTACAGCACTTTAGAAATATCTATAGAAATGTTTTACTTGGACGAATACATCTGTCTATTTTCTGTTCTGCAGATGGGGTATATTACGGTAAAAGCTGCCATCATCATCATTGCAGATGTTGGCCTGCTTTCTTTGTGCACAGAGCCACAGTCACTATTACAATAGTCTAAAGAAGTGACGGTTGTTTGGGGCCGGGGTCCAGATCACCCAAGCTTGAATAACTGGGTTTAACTCTGAGTTCTACCACCTGTCAGTCTTTGTGCAGCTCCCAAACTTATAAGGCTCTGCTCTGCGTAGAATGACATACTAATATCAGTTTCATGTAGACACACACACAGTTATACTATTGGTTTGTAGTAGGAACTCTCCAAGTCTCTATTGTTCATGTTATCATAGGAAAGAGTAGGCAGAGTAGGTTCAACTATGGAGCTCTCCAAGTGCGGGTCTAAGAATTTCCCTGCTGGATAGTTTTCCTTGTTTCACATCACAATGAAAAAACAAGAAATATACTGATTTTTTTCATAAATCTATTCAATGTAAAGTTTTATTCTAATATATCATGTCCTTCAATTTTTTAACTACGGGGGGCGGGAGGGAATAGGATCAAAACAAGGGGGGTGGGAATTGTATGGGGACTATAACCAAGATGAAAATGCATACATTGTGCAAAAATGAACAATGATGTAAAAAATGTACAAAATTAAAAAAAGAATAAAATGAATTAAGCAGATAATGTTTCAAGGTCTTTACTAGGGCCAAATAAATGTAAAACTGATGCCAGTGGCCAGATTTAGTTTTGAAATGTTGATTGTATTTGAAATCCAAGGGATTGTAAGCACTAATCTTGCATGTTAGCAAATAAAAACAGTTCAAAATGAGTGTAATCATGATGGCAGGTAAGATAAAATGGAGGGGGCCTCCCCTGGTGGTGCAGTGGTTGAGGGCTGGGCTGTGAAGCTGCCCGCAACCTCTGCAGCACCAGTTCAATCCCCGGCCACTGGCGAGGGTCCCACATGGTGCGACAGACCTCTCATGCTGTGCCCGCTGTTCCCCTCAGCAGTGTATTTCTTCAGTCTGCCTGTTCTGTTCCCCACTCTGGTGAATTCTCTCACCCTCCCATGCTTCTGAGTATACCCAGTGCTTGAATAAATAAATAAATAAATAATTTTTTTAAAAGACATTTAAAAAAAAATTAAAAAAAAGATAAGCTGGAGGGAGGCTGTAGAGATGAGGTAAAGACCTGTAAGTGATAAAGGTCTGACTTGTCCCTTGGAGGTATGCGATCAGTGGTAGGAGGATGCTAGTTTCAGGCAAGGAAACTAATGGGGACTTGGAGGAAGAGATGAGGGCTGCCTGGAGGGCCAGGACTGAAAATTTAGGTTAAGGACAAAGGGTATGTGGAGAAAAATAGTGTGGGCCAGTGGAAGTGAAAGGGGAACTTTCAGGAACCATAAAGATAGACAAAGAAGTTTCATATTAATGTGGTTAAAAAAAAGGGTGGGGATTAGTGAAGCTGCAGTGAAGGAGTCATGTGATAGCATCAGCATTAATTAGGGGAGCAGGTCCATATGGAGAATGCAGGGTGCAGTGAAGTGAGGAATGGGGGCTGTGCAATATTTTAAGTACTTTGAACTGAGAAACTTGAATAGCGTG